TGCGAGGCCCGACCTAGCGAATGTTCGTATATGCGAACATCCATGTGCACAGAAATAATGCTCATCTGATTATCAACCTGAGACGCATTTATTTATCTATGTATCCAGTTGATATACATTTCTACTGATAGATATCCCTTTATTTCTGTGTATTTGTATGTCCGTAGATATGAGTATTTATTGGATCAAGCCTCACAAACCGGCCGTATCCGACACGATTTTTTTTTGTAGGAAGTTAAATCGGGCGTGCGAGTACCTTAGAGTTTTTATAGATGAATGCAATTGCCTCTATATAACATAATATTTTCTTATATGAATTTTTAATGAAAGTATATTTTGATTCATGGCGATTGATGCATCAGCAATATAACACCAAGGTTATAGTTCCATTAGACACAAGAGCATATTACCCTCCCAAAGAACCCCGTCATTATACTAGCCTCAGCCTGCTAACTAACCATCAGATTTACGTCGTACCTGCAGTGTAGTGGGAGGCGTTGTAAGTGTGGTGGGTGGAGTGAAGGGCGTGGTCTGGGTGCACCGTGGGCGGAGCATCCCAGGGTGGAGGGTCGTAGAGGAGGCGCCGCAGCCGTTCCACCGCCTCCCGATATCTGTCACTGTCTACGACGTCCATCTGGCGGGGAGGAAATGACACTGACAATGCAGATCGCTTCATTGTGCATGGGCGTGCGTGTCTATGCATGAACACACGCCGTGCCCGTGTTCCATGCTTACATACATGTATATGTGTAAATGCATGTAGAGACATACATTTATATATATATAGGTATAAATTTATACATACACACATATGTACACATACAGTAGAGTATATATTTATGGACATATTTTCTGAATACATAATCATATGTATATATGTATATATATACATATATACATATATATATATATATATATATATATATATATATATAATATATATATATATATATATATATATATATATATATATGTATATATATATATATATATTACACACAAACTTACACACTCACATAAACACTCTCTCACACATACACACATAAACTAACGTACACGAATGTACACACACTGACATCCATACTTTCTAACACACACACACACACACATACTCGCACACACACACACACACACACGCACACACAAATTTACACGAATGTACACACATACACACTGACACCCATAAATGTGTGTGTATACAACATATATATATATATATTATATATATATATATATATATATATATATATATATATATATATATATATATATATAATGTATGTATATATATACATACATACACATATACATATGTGCGTGTGTATGTATATATATATTTGTATCAGTGTGTGTGTTATCATACTTTCCTTTCTTTTACGTACATGTAAGATATGTGCTCGTAAAAGGGGAAATTGGTAGTCAGATTCAGTTCATAAAAGAGACTGACATGGGATAAGAAGGGAAAAATAAGCAGAAAGAAGAAGAACAGAGAAAATGAGAGAGGAAGGGGAAGGGAATGAGAGAGCACATGCATGGAGTTAGAGAGAAAAGAAAAATGAGAGAAAGCGAACAAATATGAAGACAAACCCAAGAGCACACAAGATAAAGACGAATTATAAGACAAATATAAACAAGACAAAAGGATAAGAATATTGAATATTACCATAAATAAAGAAAAAAAGAAATATTTTTGTCCTGCCTGTGATTATTATTATTATCATCATCATCATTTTTATTATACTTATCATTTTATCATTATTATCATAATTATTGTATCAACACTATTATTATCATTTTGTTCATTAACATAATTTCATTAATATTAAGTTTATTATTATCATCATCATTTTATTATTATTATCATTATCATCATGATTATTATTATTATTATTATTATTATTATTATTATGATTATCACTATCATCTTCATCATCATCATCATTATCTTCATCATCATCATCATCCTGATAGACATCATCATTACCACCATCACCACCACCATCATCATCATCATCATCACATCATCATTATCATCATCACCAATCATCATCATCATCATTATCAATAATCATCCTCATCATCATCATCACCACCAACACACCACATCCACCACCACCATGCATCATCATCACAATCATATCATCATCATCACTCATAACAACCCCCACCCCACCCCACCACCGCCCCCACCCCCCCACCACCCCACCCCCCACCACCATGCTCATAAAAGAAGAAAAAAAAAATCCCTCCCGATTCCCAAGGTCGCTGCGTCTCCGCCGTTCAGAGGGTCGGGACAAAGGCAAAATCGAGAGGTCGTTACGTCTTCGGCAAATCAGAAACCAGCCCGGCATGCACGGGCTTCGGCTCAGAAGGCAAGGCGATGGGGCTCTGTAATCTTGCTGCCGGGAGAGTGTCTTTGGTCTGCTTGTTTTGCGTGTGTGTGTTTGTGTTTGTGTTTTTTTTTTTGGGGGGTAGGGTGTGTGTTGTGTGTGTGTGTGTGTGGGTGTTTTGTGTGTGCGTGTGTTTTGGGGTAGGGGTGTGTGTGTGTGTGTGTGTGCATTTGGATAAGGTGTGTGTGTGCGTGCATGTGTGTTTGTGTATTTGGATAGGGTTTGTATGTGTGTGTGTGTGTGTGTTTGTGTTTTTGCGTATGTGTGTGTGGTAAGATGTGTGTGTGTTTGTGTATTTGGATAGGCTGTGTGTGTAGTGTTGTTTGTGTTTTGGGGATAGGGTGTGTGCGTATGTGTGCGTGTCTATCTTCCTTTCTTTTTTTCGGGGGAAGAGAAGAGGATATCTGAATTGTTCTTTTGGCAACCCTCTTCAATCCATGTTTTTCCTTCGTGTTCTTCCCTGGGAAATTTACCTATGGACCTCATTCTTACAGTTAACAATCGTCTTCATTCGTCTTTATTGTCATTATTGTTCCTAAAGTTGCTCCTGCTCTTTATATGTTATTATTCTCTTCGGCATTATTATAATTGTTATTTCTATTTCTATCTTTACTTTAGTAATAATAATATTAATAAATATAACAGTGATCACAATGATGGTAATTGCGAAAAACAAGAAGAATGATAATGATAACATTGACAATGACAATGATTATAATAATGATTAAGATGCTATGATAACGGTATTAATAAAGATCATTACAATCCTGATTGTGTTTCGTCCATACACACACACACACACATTCACACATACACACGCATATATATATATATATATATATATATATATATATATATATATATATATATATATATATATATATATATATATATATATATATATATATTATATACATATTTAATGATAATGATAATAAGTACTGAGTGCTTCTAGTTATGATCATTATTGTTGTTGAATTACCATTATTATTATCATTGTTATTATTATCACTCTTCTTGTTGTTGCTGTTGTTATTGTTGTTGTTATTATGCTATTACTATCATTATCATGGTCATTATCATTATTATGATCATTCTTGTTATTACTTTTATCATCAATGTTATTTATATCATTATTGTCATTTTTATTATTATGATTATTAATATTATCAACGTTACTGTTATTATTATTATAATTATTATCATTATTTTTATTATAATTATTACTATTATCACTCTTATAATTATTCTTATTATCATTAATATCATTATAATAATTATCACTACTATCATTATGATTCTTATCATTATCATTATTATTCTTGTCATTATGAATATTATTATCATCATTATCATTCTTTTATTATCATTATAATTACTATCAGAATTATCATCATTATTATTGCCATTATTTTTGTTATTGTTGTTACCACCGTCATTGTTACTATTATTACTATAACTAGTGTTGTCATCATTTTCATCATTATCCTAAATATTATAATCCTTATCATTATTCCTGATATCCATAATCATCATAATCATCCTATTTGTTATTATCACCATCAGCTGTTAAGTAATAACAATGGCTCTATGGTAGTTAATCGTAGTTAAAGATCAATTTGGATTATCATGACAGGCATTACTATTTCGGTCATCAACATTTTCTTACTTCTCTTTGTTCCTTTTGTCTATTTTTTATTCGTGTCTTTCTTCTGAGTCGGTATCTGCTATTGTCCTTTATGCTTTTTGTTACTTTCTCCTTCCCTTTACCTCGTCTCTTTTTTTTCTCCTTTTGAACTTCTCTTCGCTCCTTCCTTTAACCCCTTCCCTTTTCTTGCAGTCTTTCTCCTTCCCTTATTCTCTTTTTTTTCTCCTTTCCTTTCCCTTAGTTCCTTCCTCCTTGCCCTTTCTTCAGTCTTTCCCTTACCTTAATCTCTTCTTTTTCTTTCTCCTTTCCCTTTTCTTAGCTCCTTCCTTTAACGCCTTCCCTTTTCTTCCCCCTTCCCCTCTTTCGTTCCCCCTCGCACGTCTTACCAGGCAGAAGTACCAATAAATATTACCAGAATTTGTTTAATTGCTTCCTTGATTCGTCCCCGAACCGAATCGAGATCGTAAGAGGGGGGGGGAGGGAGGGGGGGGTGGCGCCCTTGTGACATTGCAAATTACCTATATTTTCTGGCCTTTTTTATATAATTTCTTACGCCGGCGGGGCTGTCGTCGAGCTGCGCAAATAAGAATGGCCTGCGATTCGTTAAGCTCCCGCAGTGAGGCTGGTGCAGCTTGGAGGTCCCCGTGCAGTGTGCTTTCGTCACGAGATTGGTTACTGCCCCCAAACACACGCACACACATATGCATATACACACGCATGCACACACAGCAGAACCGTACATCCATACTGTGCATATACAGAAGTAAATACAGGCATGCACATACAGGCAAAACCGTAAGTACAAACTCTATATGCATACAAATAGATATTTGTACAAATATGTATGCATATACAAAAGTAAAAGCATATATATACAACCAGCAAATACATACACACATGGGTTATTAGTACACACCCATGGATTCACAGAAAGGAGTAAATACGAACAGAACAATTACAATAATCACCCATTGTTATTTATAAAGAATTCAAACATCATCATCCCAAATGTCCCGTTTTCTATAAAGGCAAATCCCATTTTCTGTGACGCCATCACGACCGGCTTCTGAGCGACGTCCTAGCTGATTGCCTTGCTAGAAGACCCTTAATTATGCTCCAGAGCGGGGCATCACGCCCTCCCGACATGCTGCAATGGCCAGTTATGGAATACGTTACGTTCCTCCTCGCTCCCTTAATTACAGAAGACGAGGGAGAAGGAGGGGGCGAGGAGAAAGGATGGGGAGGGGAGGAGGAGGGATGGGGAGGGAGGAGGAGGGATGGAGAGGGGCTGGAGAAGAGATGAGGAGGGGGGGAGAGGGGAGGGAGATGAGGCGGGATGTGGAGGGGGGTGAAAGGAGGGGGAGGGGTGGAGGGAGGTGGGGAGGGACAGAAAGGGAGGATGACTTTTTTCCCGAAATAGATGTATAAAGAAAAGGAACTACGGTGTGCGCATGAAGTTAATCATAGGCTTAATTATATACAGATCCTGGGGTGGAGGAGAGAGAGAGAGAGAGGGAGAGGGAGAGGGAGAGGGAGAGAGAGAGAGAAGGGGAGAAGAGAGAGAGAGAGAGAGAGAGAGAGAGAGAGAGAGAGAGA